AGATAAGTTTATTGGGGTGCTTAATATATCAGCCACATGTTTTTGTTTGCTTTTTGTTTTGAGACAGGGTTTCTCTGTGTAGCTTTGTGCCTTTCCTGGAACTCACTCTGTAGCCCAGGCTGGCCTCCAACTCACAGAGATCTGCCTGCCTCTGCCTCCAGAGTGTTGGTATTAAAGGCGTGCGCCACCACCACTGCCCGGCTTGGCAGCACTCTTCTTTAATACCAGCTCTTGAGAGGCAGGTGGATCTCTGAGAGTACAAGTCCAACTTGCTCTACATAGCAAGTTTCAGGTCAGTCAAAGTTACACAGAAAGACCCTGTCTCCTCTTCCTTCTCTTCATCACCATTGGAGCTGAAGCAATGACTCAACAGTTAAGAACACTTGTTGCTCTTTCAGAGGCCAAGGACCCACGTTCAATTTCTAGCACACACAAAGTTGCACACAACTATCGGCAACTCCAGTTCCTGGAATTCTGATCCCCTCTTCTGGCCTCTGTGGGCACCACACATTTGAGTGGCGCACATACATATGGACAGGCAAAACACTCATATACATAAGATAAGTAAAACAAATAAACCTAAAAAAAAATTAAGACCAGGTGTGGTGGTTCAAACCTTTAATCCCAGCACTCAGGAGGCAGAGGCAGATGGGGATCTCTGGAGTTTCAGGCCAGCCTGGTCTACAGAGTGAGTTCCAGGATAGCCAGAGCCACAAAGAAACACTGTCTCCCCCCCAAAAAAAAGAAAAGAAAAAATTATATTCTTTTAGCAGGATGTAAGATTAATTTCCCCTTAAATTAACAAAATCAAGACTGTCATCTGACTGAGATAATTCATGATCATTCTCTAAGATTCACTTTTTTGTGTGCTGTAAAACTGTTGAGTCCAGTGGTCTAAGGTAGGAATTGCCATCTTTGTATGTAAAAGGCTTTGACCCTAGTACTTGTGTGTTGTGAGACTCTGTCTTTTGGGCATGGTATGGTCATCGACATCTTGAAATTAGAGCAGTTGTGATTGCCTGAATGAGACCCTCAGAAGACTGGGACTGTTGCCTTTACCCCTTGGGGACACCACAGCAGATTCTAACCTGAGATTCCAGCCACATCCTCCTTGCCCGTCTCATTCCACCAGCTGCCTGTCATTCTGTCCCACCAGAACACGTCTTAGGGTACCAGGCCATGTAAAAGGCCAAAGGATGACTGCAGTGGTGATCTCATCATCTCAGTCTTCATGAGCTCACCACACTGGGGTGAGCTTTCCGCTAATGCAACTAGTGTTGGGTGATCCAGGCTCCTGTAAACAACCCATCTTCCATGTTCCTATAAGTAAGTCCAATAAACTTACTGCTTCACTCAGCTGGACTTGGATGGAATTGTTCCTTTGATGTGTTGTTGGTAAACTACCTGTGGTGAATAGGTGGGGTTTTGGGGGCAGGGCTTTTTCTTTTTTTGCACCTCCCTAGGAAAAGTATCACAAGACTTACTCCCCTAAATGTCTCCATTTTCATAATACTAGGGTTCTGTTACGGTTTACGTGAGAGATATCACCCACAGGCTCTTACATTTGCACACTTGTTCCCTAGTCAATGATGCTCCTTTGGAACGTGGAACCTTTAGTAGATAGAGAATAAAGGAAATGAGTCATGGTGAAGTGGGCCTTGAGGTTCATAGCTAAGGCCTCCTCCAGGTCCTCTCTATGTCCTGTCCATGGAGCTGTGATGAGGTAAAGAAGCCCAAATCCATGTCCCCAGCACCATGTGAAAGGGAAAAATCAGTAGCCATCTTGAGAGACGCTTCCCCCTCCCCTCCTCCAAAGGTATTTGCTGACCAGCAGTTTTAGAAATGCCGGGCGGTGGTGGCGCACGCCTTTAATCCCAGCACTCGGGAGGCAGAGCCAGGCGGATCTCTGTGAGTTCAAGGCCAGCCTGGGCTACCAAGTGAGTTCCAGGAGAGGCGCAAAGCTACACAGAGAAACCCTGTCTCGAAAAAAAAAAAAAAATTAGAAATGACCAGAAGTTGAACTTATAAGGCTGGGACAATAAATCTATGTATCCTGGACTTGGCAAAACAAGATATGGGCAGTAATGGACTCAACTGACCAGAAGTTGACCTCAGGGGAGAGTAGGACTGGAACAATAAATCTGAATGTATATATCCTGGGTTCAACAAAAGCAGGACATAGGGAGTAAAAATTTATGTCTCTGTAGATACCCTGAATCCTGTTAGGTATCAGTAACCTCATGCTCATAGTTCAGCCAGTAACTTCAAAGAACTACTTCACCCCCAGCCGCCTCATCCAATCCCAAGCTGCATGTAAACCTTTCCTATATAAACAAACCCCTTCAAGTGAGTGCTCGGGGCCGTTCTCCTCCACCCGCTGTGTTGGATGTTGGACGCGGACCAAGCCCGAGCTTGCTTGTTATCAATAAACCCCTGTGTGTTTTGCATCGGATATCAGCTCTGTGGTGGTCTTGCTTGAGGGTCTTGCGACGCAGGCACAACACATGCAGTCTTTGCCACACCTTCTCTGCCATCATGGTAACCAATATAAACCCTTCCTACCCTAACCTGCTCTCGTCAAGTATTTTTCGTAGTGATGAGAAACACGATTTCTACAGGCTCCCTCTTGACTCTATCATAACTGCTCTTACTCTGTAGGTCAGAAAGCCAGTACCAGGGTATTTTTTCCCCTCACACTGTAGCCCTGGCTCGAAGTACTGGAACTCACTATGTGCTCAAAATCACAACAGTTCTGCTGCCTCAAACTCCCAAGAGGTGGGATTAAAGGCATGAGACACTACTCCTGGTCCTAAAACCAGGATTATGTCACTTGCTAAATGTGGTAAAACCTGATGGTAACCCCTCCCCTTTTGGGGGGACAGTGTCCCAGGTTGGCCTCAAACATTCTAAGTAGCTGAGGATAACCAACAACAACTTTCTTTTTCTTCTCTCTCTCTCTCTCTCTCTCTCTCTCTCTCTCTCTCTCTCTCTCTCTCTCTCTCTCTCTCATTCTTTTAATCCGGAATCTCTATGTAGCCCTGGTTAGCCAAGAATTCCTTATGTAGACCAGGCTAGCTTTGAACTTACCAGAGATCCACCTGCTCCTGTCTCTCTAGTGCTGAGATTAAAGGCATGCAACACCACACACAGATTAACCTTGGACTCTTGATTCTCCTGCTTCTATTCCCCAAGTACTGGGATTAAAAGTGTGCCAGCTCTGATGGGAAAACCCTTGCAATAAGTGGAGTCCAAAATATTTGAAGCTAAAAAAACGGCAAGAGCCTGTAACTGGGGGACTGAGCACACAGTACAGCAGGGGAGCGAGCGCTTGCCTTGCTGGTAAATCTGTGGGTTCAGTTCTCGGTACGGAAAAAGAAAACTGTGCAAGACAACGAATTAGGGAGAGCTGATGTAGGGTAGTGCTATAGGTCCAGATGTGGAGCAGCCCAGTGCTGTCTCTTGAGGTTTGGCACCATCTGGTGGAAACAGTCTCAGGTTAGGCTGATGGGGTGACTAAGTTCTGTGTAAAGCTGGGCTGACCGGATCAACAACAGTTCTTTCACTAGTGAGCTTTTGTTTTATTCATCAAAACTAAGATTGTTGGATCATCCTGTAGCTGAGAATATTTACAGAAGACATTTATTAAACATGATTGCCACTGTTGCTCATTCAAAATAATACTCATCTCAAGAACTCATTTATCATGGTTTTAGTCAGAGAAACATCTGTGTCCTTTGAGGCCATCCTTAGAGAGCAGAAGGCAGGTGACTTCTTCCAAAGAAATCCATCACTATAGGTCTTTTTGGTTTGCTTGTTGTTTTATTTTTTGAAGGGAAAATCTCATGTAGCCCAGGTTGGCCTTAAACTGCTAGCTGTCTTTGGCCTCAACTCTCAAGCGCTGGCATTACAAGGATTACAAGTGTGTATCAACCCTGCCTGGCTTCCCATTTCTCCATTTCTTTTTTTTCCTTTAAACAACGTTTCACTATGTAGCCTTGGCTAGCCTAGAACTCACAGAGATCCTCTTGCCTCTACCTCCCAAGTCCTGAGATTAAAGGCTGTACTACTACGCCCAGCTAGATTCCTATTTAAGTTTTTTTTGTTGTTGTTGTTTTCTTTTTGGAACAATGTCTTATTATACAATCCAGGTTGACCTTGAAACTCCTATGAAGTATGAACCTCAAACTCAAGGTCTCCTTCCTCAGCCTAAGTGCTAGAATTACTCACCTGCCACAATGCCTGACTCTTTGAATTTTTAATACTTTCTAATTCATATCAAATAATCAAAAAGAAATGTGAGGAATAGAAACTATGGATCACAGTCAGGACTGCTGGCTGGTAACTGTAATCCCAGGATTTATCTGGGAGGCTGACACATGAGGATTAATATAGTCCAAACACTGGTCTAGGTAGGCTACATGATGAGTTCAAGGTCAACCCAGGCAGTAGAATGAGACTCTGCCTCAAATCTCAGGGGTTTTTTTTGTCTGTTTTTTTTTTTTTTTTTGGTTTTTTTCGAGACAGGGTTTCTCTGTGTAGCTTTCGCTGTCCTGGAACTCTTTGCAGATCAGGGATCCCCATCTGCCTCTGCCTTCCCAGTGCTGGGATTAAAGGCGTGCGCCACCACCGCCCGGTCCGGAAAACATTTTTAAATGAAGGTTTTATTTAGGAAGGAAAGATCTGAAACTAGGTCTAAATAAATGAGAGGTAAGAACCCACTGCGCGTCTGTGTTCTCTCCTGGATCAAGAAAAAGAACAAAAGGAAACTAGGCAGGCAGAACAAAGGCATAAAGGATGGAGGAAAGCGGGGCCATCTCTTCTCTCCTCCCACCCAGGACGGTTCCCGAGAAGGTTCCAGACACAACTGCGGCGCCGCTGGCGACATCAAGGTGTCTCGGGGAGACCACCGCAGACGCCCAGGGGCCGGCACTTTCCCGCCACGCCGTGTCCGGGCCTTTAGGGGCGGGTCAGCGCGAGCGAGGCGGGGCGTTGACGTCACCTCCGGCTCGGGCCCGCGCCCGGGCGGGAGAAAGCCGTCGGAAAGCCCCGCGGAGTGGGCGGGGCCGGGAAAGCGCGCCTTCAGGGGCGTGAGCGGGGCCCACTTAAAGAGCGCCGCGTCACATCCGGTGGCGTTAGACCCGGGCGGAGGTGGTGCGGAGCGCGTCGGTCCCAGGCCACTCTCAAAAGTGTGTCGTCGCGGGAGGCTGCGGCGGGGCCTCTGGTAAGAAGTCAGGAGCTTGACAGCTTCCGTAAAGGCCAGAAGCGGGGACAGCAATCCGGAGCCATGAGCGACAGCGGCGAGCAGAACTACGGCGAACGGGTAAGCGCGGGGAGGGGGGTGCACGGGCGGCCGCGGTCCCACCTTGCTTCTCTGCCCCTCCAGGCCTTTCGGGGGCCCCCTCGGCCGGGCATCGGGGATTCTGTCGCCGAGAGGGAGCCGGGGCGCCGGAGGGTGGACGACGGACGCCCCGAGTCGCGAGGGAGGCCGCCAGCGGCCTGTGTGCCCGGTACCCGCGGCGGCCTCCTTTTTTTTTTTTTTCCGTTACGAGGTTGCGGGCGGGGGGAGGGGGAAGGAGAGAGATTAAAAATGGCCGCGGCGTCGCCTCGGCGTTGGGGGATGGGAACGGCGTCTCATTTCGCCGTTGCTCTCCCTGCGGAGCCGCGCCGCAGCCATCTTGGGCTCGCGGGCCGGGCGCGCTGCCAGAGGCACAAAATGGCGGAGCCGCCGCGGGTCCCGGCTGCCCGGCCCTTTGCCGGCTCGCCCGGGGCCGCCGGCTGAAGCCGAGAAGAGCCACGTGGGCCCGGGCGTCGGGCTGGTGGCCTTGTTGGCGGAGAGCCTTCTCGGGCCTGGGAAGGGACAGCTCGCTCGCTCGCTCGCTCTGCGGACGGGCGCAGCCGAGGGAGCTCGGGGGCCCGTGGGCTTTGTTGTGCCGGAGCCTCTTCCCCATTGTTGGGACCTTAACGGGGACAGGACACAAGGTCATTAGGATTTTCTCACCCCCACCCCCTCCCCCACCCCGGGGAATGGTGAAGGAGTGATGGGTGGCGACAGTTCATGGCGCTGTTAGCGCTGGGAATCACGTGTTTTATTTTTTTTTTTTAAGCTTCCACCTCCAGGGGGTGAAATTCGGTAGAGGTTGATTAGATTGTGTGTGTATATATATATAAAACGGGCCTGTGGATTAGACCCAGTCCCAAAGCTTAAACAAAGCGCATGTGGCGTGGCAGTAGAGTATTAGATTAAAAAACTATTCCAGGAAGATACATGCAAGTACATGGCTTAGTGAGCGAGTAATGGCAGTTTGAAAATTGCTTACAAGCACCATAAGAACAATTATTTTACGTCTCAAGACTTAAAATTTTTTTTCTACAAAAAAGTTTACAGGAATTGTTAGCACATAGTTTACTTTTTAGTCAAATAAGTATGTTAGTAAACTTTAGGTCTTTGACAGTTTGGTAGAAAGTATTGTGGGACTCTTCATGGTGAACTCAGAACCAAATCAGAATAGTTTGAACTGACCAGACCTTTACTTATCAAGATGAGTCTCTTATCCCAAGGTCATTTTAAGTCCAATGTCACCAGTGATTGCCTTACCATTTTAAGGCTTTCTTAAGGAAAGAAACGAGGGCGGGGAGTGGGGTGGGATTTTGCTTTATTTTCTTGATAATGAAAATAGAACCTATCCTCACGTGATGGGCAAGTCTTTACTACTGAACTGTATCCCAAATTTCTAAGTCTTTTGTTTTAAATTCTTCGAACTTCCTCAGTAGCCCACACATACCTTGAGTTCCTGCCTCCCGAAGTTGCATGTAATGTTGAAATTACTGTTTAGAATTAAAAGCAAATAGGTTTTGTTGTTGTTTGGGGATTAAATAGGTAGGTATTATCATGCCCATGGAAAAATTTTCAAAGTATTAGATTTAGTACACATTACTCCAGGAAGAAAGTAACTGAATGTGGACCATTTTGAAAGAACTGGGAATTGTTACCCCTGTTAATTGGAAGTGTTATTACTATTTCTGCTAGCAAGATGGACTGTCTGGTGTTCTTGAATATTTATTTGAGGTATGGTCATACTATGCCCCTGGCTGTCCTGGAACTTGCTATATAGGCCAGTCTGGTTTTGACCTCAGGCATCTGCCTGCCCCTGCCTCTCTATAACCCTAGTGCTGGGGTTTTAAGGTGTGAACCAGCCACACCAGGCAGTCCTTATTATTTAATTGGAGGGAAAGGTATTAAATAAAGATTGACTTTCTGATCTGTTTCTAAACTTGGAAGTTGTGTAACACACACACACCTCAAATTGAGGTGTGTATGTGCACAATCCTGAGTTTGTGTGGCCCACGTGTACCAGTTCCACAGACACCCAAAAGGGATTGTGAGCCATCTGATTTGGGTTCTGGAAAGGGGAACCTTGGTTCTCCTAAAGAGCAGTAGATGCTCTTAACCACCGAGTCAATTTTTGCTTGGTTGCTTTTTGTTTTCCAATTGGAATCTTGGGGTAATTGAAAAACTGAAACACTTAACAAACTGCTCAAGAAGGCTTGCCAAAAAAAAAAGTTTACAGACAAGTTTAAAAATACTGCAAGGTAAGCAGGGCAGAATGTTACAGGTTTGTAAATACTGGCTACTTGTCCTGGATAGGAGGATCCAGAGTTCAGGATAATCTTGGCCAATTACTTAGTAAGACTAAACATTTTCCCCCAAAGGAATAAGGGATAAGTTAAGGACTGGTTGTATAACTTGGTGAGAGAACACTTCCTGTCCTGTAAGGCTCACACACACACATAACACAAGGTAGCTAAAGTCCCCTGCATTTTTTGTTCACAGACATTACTGCAAAGTAGCATGGCCAAATCTGATTGGTTTGCTTTCCCTTTTATAAGTGTGAAAAATGGTGTTCAAGGTAAATAGTCTTGGATATGCCTGGTATAACCAACCATCTCTGGAAACCTGAAAATGAGTTTCATTGACTTCTAGGCCCTTCGGCACATAAACTGTTGTGGTTAATGTACATAGTATAAATCTGTTAAGCTACCTGGAATCTCAGTCAGTGTCTTCATGTGGACACTCTATACTTCAGGATTCCCTTAAACCGGTTAGGCTTTCAAAGTTGTTTCTTTCCTAAGCATTTGGTGTGTGTGAAATAAATTTTGCTTAGTTTGGTCACACATTGGATGGATGTTAGCATTTAGTTAGCTCTTTTGCAGTGTGTATTCTTCATCCCTCTGTTATTTGTAGGATTTGTGGGGTTTGTTTTTTTTAATTAGGTTTTTCCCCCCACATTTTAAAGTTGGTTTGATAAAATTTTGTTTCTTCCAGTTTACAAAATTACTCATTTTGTAAAAGAACCTTTTCTTTGAAGGAAAAACATCCACTCTTTAGAGATGTGAGGTAGTAATGGGGTTAATATTTAAGATCCCAATAATGGTTCTAGTTTAGGGTGTGAGACTTACACATTTTGATCTTCTACTTAGCTTAAAATTCTAACCTCTTTGAGATTATGCGTGTGAGTCTTTATCCTGAGAATCCAGAATTAGACAAGCCAGAAAATGTTAGTTTTTGTTAGTCTATTTTATTACCACAGTAGCTAGAGGTTAAAGAGTAGCTTGGAGTTATTAAATACTCCGGTAGATATTTTCTTAGAAGTGTAGTGTGTTTGGAATATAAAAGTAAGGGGTAGATTCTGGATACTACCCTATCAAATTGCCTTTCAGATTCTGCAGTTTTTCTCTTCTGCTTAAGCAATCCTGTGATGTCTTTGTATATTCCTTGTGTTTATCCCCTAACTCTAAATTCTGGTTTTTAAAACCAAAATTTCTATTTCTAAAGTAATTGTGGTCCTCACATAATTTTTATTAACAAAGGGTTGAATTAATGCCAAGTTTAAGAAAATTGCCTAGTTTTTTCATCACTGACTTACACAGGTTAGGTATAAGTCTCTTGAAACTGTTGAATCATTTTCTTTGGCTTAAACAAGAATGCTTATTAATATTGTGGATATTGTCAAAATAGAAAGTGGTACTTTAAGGTGAAGTTACAAATGGTTTTACAAGGTAAGTACTACTGGTTTTGTTGAAAGCTTGAAGGGGGGAATTCAGAAGCTGAGAGAAGTGTTAATGGTATTTGTCTTGTTTGTATAGTCTTTTTCCTTTTCTCTTCAGTAAAACCCCAAACCTAAATGATAAACATGAATGCTTTCAAATTTCATTCATAATTTGGCCAAGTCAATTATTAGAGCTATAGTGTATGTGTCCAGCATTGTTTTGTTGATTAGCATTTATACATAGCTATTGTTTTTCTAATAAGGTATGGTGATTATTTTAGGAACTAGTGCTTTTACACAGGTTGCTATTGTAGGATGTGGGCCATTATAGTTAGTTAGGTGTTGGCCATCATTTAGTGGTACTTTTTTAGTTTCAGGTCAAAATTGACTAGCAAATTCTCAAATCATTGTTTTGAATTGGGTTTTGGAGGCTATTTTCAGGTTATTTATTGGCATAGATTTTCATGTTTGGATAGGGCCCTCTTCTACATTAAAATTTTTGTGCTTAGATAAGAACTTTCAAACAAAAATGAATTCATGTGATATTGATGGAAAGTATTATCAAAAGAAACTTAAGGGTTTGGTATTTTTGTGGGTTTATAAAAAGCATAGAATTTACAGCTGATACAGGTATGTTGGGTGTGTTTTGCTTTTTTGGTTTTTTTTTTTCCCCTTTCAGAAATTTCTTAAGCATTTGAGGATTTTTCTCCTCCACACTTCTGATAGTTTCAGGAAAAAGTAGAGGACACATTCCTGTAATCTCATCATTTGGGAGGTGGCAGCAGGAAGATCAGGTCATTCTTTGACTATGTAGTGACTTTGAGGCCATTCTGGGCTACACGAGACTCTGCCTCCCAAAAAAGCCCTTTATCCATTTTAGTGTTGACCTTTTCTTTCTGTAGCAAGGTGTAGTTTTTCTTTGCTCATCTCATTTCCAGTTAATAAACTGCTCCCTCAGTAATGTGTTTTTTCTAAGTAGGATCCTTTTTTATGAAGTAGCTGAGTTAATATAAATATTGTCTAGCAATGGTTTTGTTCTTAGTATATAGGAGAAAGATTAGAAAGTGGTAATGAATGAAGTGATACTAAAGTGGCCTCAATGATGAAAAGTCATGGTACCTAGAGCTTTATTGTCTTCTGAATCTAAGCCCTGTATCTGTACATACATAACCTTTAGGGAGGTCAGGCACTAAGGAAACCTGCTTGGGCATTCTGATTCCATGATTACATTCGTGCTGCCAGTAAACATTTCCCATTACATTTTAGTGATGGA